GCAAATACGTGTTTGTAAACTAAACATGTTTGAGAATGGGAAAAATCTGTGTTAGTAATACATGCCCAGCATATTAGAGACCAGCTAAGGCTGCCTTTTGTTACCTGGTCTACTGTGGAAGAAGGAGCTTTCTGCAATCTTTCTGTGAGTCCCAGAAATTCAGAGATTCTAAAAAGGCAGCAGGCAAATATATCCATGTACCTGTGCACATTTGGATGGCCCAGGATATTACAGCTCAGGTGCTGATGCATTTGTTTGTAGGCAGATTAATTCCTGTTCCAGCTGGGCATCATCCTGCACAAGTCTTATCAATCAGGGTGCACCACAGACCATGTTCCTGTCATGTGCTCATCCTTTGTGGTGATATCAATGGTATCTTGGTCCACATGGCTGTGTTATAATGAAGTCAATGAGAGATTTTGAAGAGGTTAGATACGCTATCATTTATCTGTGCCAAAAAGGACTTAATAATGAAGAGACAACTTTAGATTCAACTTAGCTGTGTTTTACAGACCTTTCTCCAGTCTGATCTCTCTGTTGTTTCTGCTACAACACTGCTCAGTCTTTCAGGTTGCACTCATCTTCTGTGAAATGTGAACAACTGGTGAGTTTTGTCATTTGTTTTTATCTGCTGGCTCTATGCAGTGACAAGGTCCTTAACTGTCCTGCTGCTACTGAACTGCTTGCCAAGCCCATATCCCAAAGGTGAGGGAAGGGAGAAATCATTACTGCACAGAATTAAGGCAGCGGTGATGGAAATATCACATTATTATTTTTGAATTACAGAGCAGTGTAACGTTGCTGTTGACAAGGACATAATAATCTCTTCTGCAAACAAGTTTTGTCAGGGATTTATAACTCTGAAGAAATTTGTCTAGGCCTGAAACTTGGCATCATGTCATTTAACAAAGTACTAATTTGTTGTCATACATACTTTTAAGCCTTGCAAGTGTAGAGGGTGTTGAGCTCCATGATAAGCACAGCTGTTGGCCCTTTAAACAGGTGATATTCCATCTACTTTGGGGTTTCCCAGGCACAAAAAGATTACAGGGACTTAGAGGAAAAGCACTCCATATAGAAGATATTGAGAAGAAAATAAAAAGGAAAGACCCCTTCATAATGAGATGATACAACAGCCCTGGAATTTTGGATTTATGACTGTACAAAGAGGCCCCAGTGCCTTTAGGAGCATTCCTGGGTGAATTTTGCCTTTTCAGTGGCCTGAGAAGGGCTCTCTGTGGGCAGCCCATTAACACTTGCCAACACTTCCTGCTGGGCATGAGCCTACTAATTGTCTCAGCTATTTATGAGCTGCGTTTAACAACTACAGCACCAGTCACAAACAATTTACAGTGCTATGCTCATATTGCTTTTTCCTTGTTGGTTTCATAAAATGTTCATGTAAACTCACTTTCCTGTTTGGAGGTATTGGAGGGTGACCTCTAATGAAGATCATATTCTATAGTTTCCAAAAGCTTTGCTGGTAAGGGATTGAAGCAGGGAAAGTTGTCAAGAAAAGTTTCTGGTGGTTCCATAACAAGATGTTCCTCTCAGGCAGGATGTAAATGTGTTATTTTTAAGGTCAAAGCACAGGCAGAGAGTTTTGAAATGGGCTCGTTAAGGCAACAACAATCTGATAAAGCTGACTCTCCTGATTTCTCGTGTGTAGTTAATTGAAAGGATATTCAGCTTTGGTTTGATACCTCTCTATAAACATTCTCCCCACAAATCAGTGGAAGTATAGAAATGTACATCAGCTTTATTGGTCATCAGCTTGGCTCTGTCCAGTATTCCAGAGTTTATGATCCCCTTTGCTGTCCCTATAGAGTGGCTTTAAAGCTCACTTGGTGCATATTCAGACTTCTGGCATTTTGCAGTTACTCTTTTATCTTCATAATAAAGCATGTATTTAACAACAATTAAATGTTGAAACAGCTTGCTGGCAGATGGGGTGAATTTTCTATCTCCTGAAGTTTTCAAAAATGTCTTTCAAAAATATGTTCATTTTATGGTCTGTGTTATAGAGAAGTCTGAACTAGAGTATTGTAGTGTTTTTTTCTTGACTTCATTTTTTCCTGTATTTCTATTGTCTTTTTCTTTCACAATTCACTGTTACTGTGAATATGCAGTGTTTTCTTTCTCCTTGCAGTTCCAAGCCAAAACTACATTTAATAAATAATGTTTAAGTTCTGCCTACTTCCCTAACTAGCTAAATATCAAATACTAAGTAGAACAGGTAATACAAATTGGATGGCACAAATGATCTGTGCCTTAAGAACCAGGAGACCCTTTGTAAAATTACTTTTGGAATGGTTAAATGTAGTGCAGGCCCTGATCTCAGATACTTCAAGGTGAGTTGTGCTGGGTCCATAGAGTGGAACAATGAGCTTAGAAATATTAGTGGGAAAAGTGAATTTAACAACTGCAGCTACTCTTGCATTCTTTGCATTCTTTAACTAAAGGACGTGTGTTGCTAATAAGATCCCATACTCCAAAGACTGGTCTCAAATATAAAACTGAATTGAATATTGATTTTTTTATTTTAGGTCATTTAGCTGCTTGCGTGTTTGTTGGTTTGTTTGTTTTTTTGTTTTTTTTTCCTGAAGTGAGGAAACTGGTTTTGGTGCTCCGAATGAAAATTGAATTGCTGAGATGTTAAGCTGTGGAAAGGGGTTACTACTCATTTGCATAATAACCATTTCAAGAAATTTCATATGAATTTTTATTATGCATTTATATGTAGATTTAAATAACCTTTATTAATACACTCCATTGAACAATAACACAATTTTTTTCGTATCATAAATACAGGGAAAACTTAACTACCACAGATAGGCAATGGTCAACATTTATAAGCTCAGCAAGATTAATATTTGCCATGAAACTCCATCTGAAAAACTTCCTTAATTCTGGTTTATGGCTAGTACTGTAGTAATCTGCCAAGGGTTTACCTATTTGCCTAAACCAGTTTGTTAAAAGACTTCAGAATTCTAGAGCCAAAATTACCTGTTTATGAAATGCAGTGATGATTTGCTTTGCTTTAAAGGACAAAACATCAGTCTTTAATTTCTAATAAAAAGCGATATTAAGTGGAGTTGGAAAGATGAGGTTGTTGGGCAGGTGATATTACCTAGCAATGATCTCTGTCACTGATGGTTTGCAAGTTAATCCTTCCACTAACAGAAGAGGAGACAGAGTGAAAGGGCAGATAAATAGCTTGAAAATTAGTTATCTCAATTTTCCAAAGAATATTAATACATGGCTTGATGTCCCCTTGGCGCTTGGCAGGAAGCTCAGTGCAGCAGGCATCGTTTCTGGGGCTGGCATTATTACATATGTTCCTGAACAACCTGGATGGAGAGGCAGAGTGCCCCCTTGGGAGATCTCCAGGTCATTCACAACCACGGGGATTGTGAAGTTCAGAGGATTTTTCACACACCTGAGGGCTGGGCTAACAAACTCCACAGAGAGCAGCCACAGCAGCTTTGCAGGTGTTGGACTTTACAGCCATTTGTGGACTCTGCTGGAATTTAAAGACTAAATTTTCAGTTGTTATTTAAATAAATAATGCAGGCTTTCATGCTAATTTAGGAGGCTTTAGCTCAGCTCACTCTAAACTCTGTTGCTCCCACTGCCTCTGGAAGGGCTTGGGCTGCAGGGGGAGAATTGATTTGCAAAGGGACTGGGATGGTGACTTGGAACATGTGGGGTCTCTTGGCTGTTCCCTGGCTGCCTGACAGTTATAGGTGAGGGATATTTATATGGCTGTAGGGGGAAAATAGGCGCTGTAAATTGGTATTGTATAGAGGCAGATAGCCTTTCAGGGGACAATAGGGTGTTTCATTATATTAGAGCTTGCAAGCAGTTTGCTCTCTTCAGAGAGCTTCAAAAAGCTGAATTCCACTTTGCCATTACAGTGGGTTCCTCTGTTATGTGGTAATGTTATTTGGAGGTGAATCTTAGGGAGTGAAAACGCCTGAAAATATAAAAATGGAGTGGTAATGTAGTGTTGTAGGTGTCAGTCTAGTGTTCATCACTATGAGAGGTTTCATATCTTTATCTTCATTTTATTCTAATTGAGAAGTGAGTCTGATGTTTGAAAAGCCCTAAATTACAGATGCTTATGTGTTGAAATGGCTATTGTCAGAGTGTGGGGGAAAAGGCACCCTGTTGTTGCAGTCTGTCAAAGATGATTTGTTGAAAATTGACTTTGAGTGTTTGTACTGGAGGTCAGAGTTCCCTGTAGAGGGCTTCTACTTCATAGAAATATCTAGAAGTGCCACAGTTATGCCTTGCTATTAAAAGAATTATTTTGTTACAAATACTTACCTGGAAATGCTTTTGATTCATTAAAATGGGAAAAATAAGTGGAGCAAAACAGCTGGGACAATTTCTAAGTAAATTCATCAGTCATTCCAGAACTATGCATTTAAAATACCTATAAATAATAGAATGCTCCATCTAAATGGAAGCCTTTTATTGATATGTAAGTACAGTGTCACCCTGAAGTTTCTTTTTTAATTTATCATTTCCATGTGTTTAGAATCAGATCAGGCAATTCATATTATTTCCAGCTTTTCAACTTTATTTTAGCAGCATTATTTTGTATGGTGTGTGAAATGAAATTGTTGCACACAGTTGTTAAGCTTTAAAATTACTTTCAGGTAACAAATAATTGTTTTGGAAACTCTGAGCCTTCACTCAATTTTTTAATATTATCTTGAGGACTGACAAAATAATTGGATAATTTCAGTGCTTTGCCATTGGCACTTTTAAATTCCTTTTATTCATATTGTTACAATATATTTCCCATGATGATGTTTATGGGACTGCTGATCTGACAAAAGAGAGGACAGTGAAAATGGGGAGAATGAAATACTGAGAACCCAGTTTTTGGGCTTTATTATCTGTTTCATTCTTTCAGGTTTACAAAGAATAAATAAATTATTTAGGTGTGCGTATAGAAACAAACATTTTGGTTTTAAATTTTGTTTTAATAGATAAAAAGATGGCCTATCACAAAGTGAATGCAGACCAGAGAGCACAGGGGCACTCTCCATACCTGGACAACGATGAGCTCCAAGCCACAGCGTTGGACCTGGAGTGGGACATGGAGAAAGAGCTGGAGGAGCCTGGCTTTGACCATTTCCGACTGGACAGCGCAGCCCAGCACCACCTGGGCAACTCACAGAGCCCTGACCTCGACCTGGAGCCCATCCAGCCTTCCTCTTCCCCAAAGGGGAGATTCCAGAGGCTCCAGGAAGACCCTGACTACATCTCCCACTACACCAGACAGGCGCCAAAGAGCAACCGCTGCAGCTTTTTTCGAATACTGAAAGTATTTTGCACTGCTTTGATTTTATTTATTTTTGGAGTTGTGATAGGATATTATGCACGGAAGAAATGCCCTTCTCCCCCAACATCTCAAGAACCAAATAATCCTCAGATCTACCATGAAATTCTCAAGGAAATCAAAGCTGAAAATATTCAACGGATTTACAGGTACGTACTTTGGCAGGTTTTTTGTCTAAATGCTCTCAGGTGCCACTGTTAAGTCTTCACCTGATTTTTTTAATGTGGAATCTTACTTACAAACCCTGAACATTTTTTTAATGTTCAATTTTATAATGACACTTGGGAGATGTTCATAAGCGTGTACAAAATTCATTTTTTAATAATGCAAATTTGTGCTAATCATAATATGTTTTGCTTTATTAATGTTCTATTGCTAAATATATTATTATCTTTAATGTAAATGAATTGAAAAACACAGATAATTAAAATTGAATGAAAATACAGACAATAGAGCAGCTGTCCTAGATCCAGCTGAGTTCCAAATAACACTATTGAAAAGCAAGGTTGATATGATGTTTTGTAATATTTGGTGCTTTAAAAAAATCCCTATCTAATTTTTGTCACAAAAGTGAACTCTGGTTTTTTTTGTTTTTTTTTTCCTCTATATGGTAAATTAAACCTTTATTCTCTATGGGTTTAGGATGGAAAAATTGACCTTTGCACTCTGAAAGATGGTGATTTGTTTTTGTTGTTTTTTTTTCTTTAATACCTGTTTTAAGAATGTAAGTTTTTTTTAAAATACCTGGGTTTGATTTTATTAGTTTTTCAATGTGGAACCCTTTCACTTCTTTGACAGTCTATATAACATGTTTGTGTCAGAGTATAATCACTTTTCTGTAACAGTGAGTGTGGAAGAAAATAGGTTTTCCTGCCAACTTTTGAAAGTTACTTCTGTATGGGGAGGAGAGATGAGCTTATTTTTGGCTTCTGGAATGCACAGTTCCTTTTTCATGATAAAGGTAATGAATTGCAGATTTTTTGATCATTATCAATTCAGAAGCATCAGAACTCCCATACCTGAAGTTAGAAAAGATTGTTGTCATGGTCATCCAAAGAGATGTTACTGAGTAGATCAGAAATAGACCAGAAGTAACCACATGGGTGTTCTAATAATATTTGTATTTTATCATAATTACTTAGCCAAGTCTTAAATCCCGTGGGTAATAGCATGTTTTGAGCCAACACTGTTTTTAAATGCAAGAGAAAAAATAAATGGGAAGGGTTTCATGTCAGTTTTCATGTACTGAACTGATTCTACTTCATACAAATCTAATTATTTTTACAATGGGATAGGGTTTAGGTCATGAAAAATGTTGATTTTTTAATGTAAGAAGATAATTTCTTTGCCTTTCAGAGAGTAAATAGAACTGAGTTCTGTCATTAGGTTTCGTCACAACTAAAGTATTGGAGTGAGCTAAGCCCTAAGATTGGGTATTACACAAATTACAGCAAATTGCTGACATGTCTGTCAGACTCAGGATAATACTTCAGTGTTTGGGGACTGGGAATCTCTTGCCATTCTACTGTTTCAAAGGGTGGTTTAAAACCATTCCTTTTCAAACCCTTTATCAGTTGACAAATGATTTCAGCTTGCTATTAAGACACTAGTGAGAATGTGGATTTTGGGTAAAATGAATTATATAAATACTTTGAAACTTAAAAAACTTCACTAGTTGCCATCCTGTAACATAATTTTTAATACTTGTTTGGGGTTTTTTTACCTATTTAATAGTATGAATTCAGTAAAAGCCGTCAAATATTAATTCAGCTACCTATCAATTCTGTATACGAATATATAATCAATGCTTTTAGTATGCTGTATTACCCACATGGTTTTCCTAACCCAGCATTTTGGTCTGAGACAGCTTTTATCCCGTGTTGTGTTCATTGCTATCCCTCAACATCTGTTTAGCCGGAGTCAGAGGGACTGCAATGAAACGTGTGTGTGTGGGAATAAAATTGGGAGGACGATGGGAATAAAAATTGGGGAAAAAATAGGGAAAGAATTGGGGGAAAATGGGAATAAAATGGGAGAAAAAAGGGGGGAAAATTCCCTTATGTGGACTTTGCCCTACCCACAATTTCCTTATTTGAGTGTAGCCCCGCCCATATTTCCTTATTTGAGATTTAGCCATGCCCACATTTCCTTATTTGGTATTTAGCCACACCCATATTTCCTTATTTGGGCTTGGCCCTGCCCACACTTCCTTATTTGAGATTTAACCATTCCCACATTTCCTTATTTGGTATTTAGCCACACCCATATTTCCTTATTTGGGCTTGGCCCTGCCCACATTCCCTTATTTGAGATTTAGCCTCACCCACTTTTCCTTATTTGGGAAAAAGAAGAATAAAATAAGAGGAAAATGGGAATAAAATTGGGAGGAAAATGGGAATAAAAATTGGGGAAAAATCGGAAATAAAATTGGGAAAAAATTTGAATGAAATGATGAAAATATAGGAATAAATTTGTGGGGGGGGATATGAGGGAAAATTGGGGAAAAGATGGGATTTTTGGCGGGAAGAAAATGGATTTTTCTGAGAAAAAAGGAGTTTCTGGATGGGTAGAATGTGGAAAAAGTTGGGGGAAAACTGGGAAAAAACGGGGCAAATTTTGTAAGAAACGGAGAAAATATTGAGGAAAAATGAGGGGGAAAATGGGGGGAAATTGGAATAAAATGCAAAGAATTTGGGAGGGGGGAAATGGAGAAAAAACAACATATGTTGCTGGGGTAAAAGGAAAAAAAAAAAAGCCCAAACCTGACAAAATCAATATATGTTATTTGAAAACTTCCTTCAGTAAAATACTTTGAGTTACGAGGTATAAGTGGCAGCTGCTTAGCTTGCAATTTCTAAATGTTACTGAGCATGACATTAATTTAATTTTCGTTGTTTACTCCTTAGATCAGGCTCAGATGGTATGGGAGTTTGCCAACAGTCCTGTGAAGGAATTAGGAGGGAAAAATCCAAACTGTTTAAGAGGCACAGAAATGCCAATCATGGTGCTGGAGCAGACATCACCTTAATGTGCTTGAAGGTCTGGGGTGGGAGCTTTCAGTTGGGGTGAAATCTATTTGTGGTGGATGAAGCTTTGAGGATTTAATCCTTTGCGCTTCTAAAGGGGTGGCAGAAGTGCTCCAGGGAACTTGTGTTGGGTTTGTTTGGATTAGGACTGGATTCTCTGTGAGTTGAATGAAGCCTGACAATCCCTGTTAGGAGTCAAAGTGGTTGAGTCTCCATCCCTGGAGGGATTTAAACGATGTGTAGATGTGGCATTTAGGAACATGATTTAGTTACCTTGCCACTCAGCTGCTGGCCTAATAGTTGGACTCAATCTTAGAGGTGTTCATGTTTCCAATTTAAACATTTCTGTGATGGTGTAGGATATCTGCAGTTTGTGTTCATGGGTTGCTGAACTGGGATATTAAGGTTCTCCACTGGAGGCTCCTCCTGGTGGGCTCCTCTTTTGTCAGTGCCATCCTGGCTGTCTGCATCATCCCAGCCCCATGTTAAGGTTGTTTGGTGGGGTTTTTTGTTTGGTTGGTTGGTTTTGGTTTGGTTTGGTTTTTTTTTTGGTTTTGTTTTTTTCCCCAGCAGACATACTAGAAATCATTAGGTAAGAAAACTCAGTGTGTTGGCTTTTATTCCTTCAACTTTGCACCTTGTTCCCTTCGAAATGGGAATGCTGCAGGATTTCTGTGCAATTCAGCACAGATGTAATTACTGGTTTTTAGCCAAGTTGCTTAATCAATGGTACAGCCTAAATCAACATTATCTCTGTGAGCCTTTTTGGACACCTCTCCCCACCCCCTGTGAGGAGCTGCTTGCATTGTTCACAATAAAAGGCAGAAATCAGTTCATTCCTGATGTTTCAGAGGTTTCAAGATGAGTTGTCAAAGGTGCCTGAAGGGGAAAAGTAATTGCCACAAGAAAAATGAAGAGCTTTTCCTCACCTAGCATGCCGCATTTTAAACTGGGACAAAAAAGAAAAAAGGGACCAATATTCTTAACAGGATTCAAACAATTCAAGAGTTTAAATACTACATTTGTTCAGATATATATTTTTGAAGATAAACAATCTGCTCCACAGTACAGGCAGATTCAGATCTGGTAAAATCACTCTCGATTCTGCAGACATCTCTGGGCTGATGGGAATCCAGTAATTACATCTGTTTGTGCCATGGGTGTAACTTTTCACAGTGCTCTTCTGGAAGACATATGACAAAATTTAAGTTCAAGGTAGGTGTAACTTGTCTCCAGAAGGCCTTCAGGGTGGGTATGAAAAGGACATAAATCCTACATCCAAAAGAGGAGGAAGTTGAAACACAGAATCTACTTTTTTAAAATGACACTCAGATTTCTGCTATCACTTAAGTGCTTTTGAAAACCAGAAAATTCTTCTGGTTTTTTTTTCTTTCTCACTCTGTATGATGTATATAAAGTATTTCAATTTAATTGCTCCAAAACCAAATCAAAATGAAACAATCTTATTTTATTTGGAAAATGTGGGGCTATCATAATTTTTAGGAGGTATTAATTTTGGGTCTGGCTTCTGTAAATTAAATGGGTAAACAAAGATTGGTGTTGAATAGTAAGAATAAAAGAAAGAGGCAGTTGTGTTGATGCCAGTGATAACACTGGCTGTGCATTATTTATCAGATTAGCAGTTTGCTCTTGTGTTCTTAAAATTCTTCTAGCCTTATTATGCTTTACTCATAATTTCGTTCCAAAATTGTACATCTTGGCTGATATCAGATCCACAGGTTTTTTAGATAATCTTCCCATGATTAAAACTGGGATGGGGGCACAGAGGGAAGCATCTTTGCTTTGCTCTCCAGCCAGTCTACAGAGAAGCTCCTACATTTCAACTCTGCTTTTCATCCTGTGTATTCTCACTCAAATGCTCCCTTCACTATCATATTTTCCCCCCTGGAGCAACAGAGAGGTTTAAATCCCTTCATAATACATCCAGTTGTAACTAACTGTCCTTCAGAGGCATATCTGTTCCTTATTCCAGCTGGTGATATCACCTGCAGGATCTCCCAAATCCATCTCTGGCAAGAATTGATTTGTCACTGGTGCCTGCTGCCATCCATAACTTCAGCTTAATTCTTCAAAGGGCTTTGGGAAGAGCAGGCAGCAGCTGC